AGAGAGAGAGAGAGAGAGAGAGAGAGAGAGAGAGAGAGAGAGAGAGAAACCGAAAGGCAGCCGCTTTGCTAGGGTGGAGAGGCTCGGATGCTGATTGGTTAATACCATTTTGCTGGAACCCGGCGCCTCGGAACAGGCCAGGGAACCAAGGCTCTATTATGCAAAATACAAGCCCCAGGCGCTCTGGCCCGCGCAGCAGCGTCAAAGGATCTGTACACCTCCAAGCTGTAGGACGCCAGCACCATTTAACAATGGCGATGTTCTGACGGCTCCTTACAGGAACTCAGTTTATTACTGTGAGCATCAGCTTATACATGTTAAGTGACATGGTGTGATGTGGAGGTGTCTACCTAGTTTTTGCTGTCTCAGCCTCACTCAAACTCGAGCCAGGCTTTTCTTTGTCCTACAGGCCTCAAAGTATAGGCCCTGAGATAATTTTGGCCCAGCAATTTATTTTTATAAGTCAGGGTCTGTCACTAAACATAGAGCTTGAAGTTTTAGCTCTACTAGTGTCTTAGTATTTTACGTGCTGTGATGGAAACACCATGACCAAAGGAAACTGGGAGGTAGGGGTGGGAGGACTATTTTATCTTACACTTCCAGGTAATATTATCACAGATAAAAGTCAGGACAGGAACTCAAGCAAGGCAGGAACCTGGAGGCAAGAGCTGACACAGAGGCCATGGAGGAGTGCTGCTTACTGGCTTGCTCCTAAAAGATTCACTCCGTTTGCTTTCTTAAACATTCTCAGGACCTACCTATCCCTGGAAAACCCCACAATGGTCTGACCTCTCTCACATCAATCACTCAGTAAATTTCGTGCACACCAATCACACAGAGACATTTTTCAGTTGAGAGCCCTTGTCCCAAATAACTCTACCTTCTGTCAAGTTGACATAAAACTATCCAGCACAATCATCCGACCCAGTGGTTCTTAACCTGTGGATTGTGACCCAATCAGGGCTCCAATGACTCTTTCACAGGAGCTGCCTAAGACAATGGGAAAACATATTTACATTACAATTTATAACAGTAAAATAATTATAGTCATGAAGTAGCAACAAAAATAATTTTAGGGTCGGGAGGTCACAACATGAGGAACTGTATTAAAGGGTCACAGCATTAGGAAGGTTGAGAATCACTGATCTAGCTAGTAAGCCCTAAGATCTGATGGTTTCTGCTCCCAGTGCTGGGGTTATAGGCTCTCATCATCACATTTACATTTACATGGGTGCAGTGAACCTGAACTCTAACCCTCGTGCTTGTCCATCACGTGCTTTGCCCACTTAGCATCTACCTGCTCACCCCCATGCCACTTACCTGGACAGCAAAGTCCTCTGCAGATACAGCCACATCCCTTCTTGTAGACTGCAGATTCACATAGTTTCTCTCCTTGGCACAAGGTCACAGTTCTAGAGAAGAAAAATATCGTAGGCAGAGGCAAGCCTCCTTGCTTGCGTGCCTTGTGGTCCGAAGGCTGCCTTTGGATGATCAGCTCTTTATAATGTAATCAGCTGCTGGGGAATGAAAGGCAGGGTCATGGATCTTTGGTGATTTACAATCTAGAAATCTGAATTAAAGCTAACACAAGAAATGAAAAACAGACTATATTGTGTTGACTGAGGTTTCTGTCCTGCCTGGTTTCTGTCCTCCCACCAGGTACCATAGTCGTTCAGCCCCAAAGAAATCACACAGAGGTCTATATTAATGATAAACTGATTTCCCCATTAGCTCAGGCTTCTTATTAACTCTTGTAATTTATATTAACCCATTATTCTTATTTATGTTAGCCACATTGTTCGGTACCTTTTTCTGCAGGGCAGGTCATATCTTCCTTCTTCTGTGTCTGGGCAGGACTGCAGAAAGAGCTTCCTCCTTCCCAGAATACTCCTGTTCTCATTGCCCCACCTCTACTTCCTGTCTGGTTGTCCCGCCTATACTTCCTCCCTGGCTAATGGCCAATCAGTGTTTATTCAAAACATAATTGACAGAATACAGAATTGTTCCACACCAATATTGTTTGAAATCTAGATAGCAAAACAGCAACAACAAAGTCAAAGGTCATATTATAATGGAAAGAATATGAGAGCATCCCCTACGTCCCGGGTATTTGGCTACCCATTGGGTACAGAACATTGTACAGAATGTTGTGCAGAGTGAAGGTCACTTACTGGGCATGCCTCTAGTTGTGAGGATATGCCTAAGTCATTTTATCAGAGTCAGACTCCCAAATGGAGCTCAGGCAATGCGCCACAGTCCCATTTTCTTTCAGAAGGCATGTGTTATTTCTATACGTCCTCCATTCTGGTCTCTGTCACTTGTATAACTACTATTTTCAAGACTGTCCAAAATCAGCCTTGCTTCAAGGAGCTGTGCTGGTTAGGCCCGTGACATGCTTGTGCAAGGAGGGGTCCACCTGGGACTCACACTGGCAGGCTAAAGATCCTGGTACAGTTAGTTCCATGGGATGATGCCCAGGGAACATTTTCAGGCACACACAGAGGCCTGGGAAAACAGAAGTGTCTCTAGAGCCTGTGACAAGAGTTCCCATTGCATGTTGTTATGAGAATAAGAACCCATGAAGAGAGTTCCCGTTGTATGCCCTTGTCATAAGAATCCATGAAGAGAGTTCCTATTGCATGTCCTTGTCATGAGGATAAGCATTAAATATCTCTTTGTCCATCATAGGTATTGCAAAATATGTTGACTAGAGTCATAGGGTTATTATGTGGTGATTCTCTCCCAATGGAAACATTCTACTCTGGAGGTAGGAGGAGGGCTCAAAAGAATAGAAAAGCTAATACAACTCATCAACCTCAGGAGACTCAGTTACAATACTCAAATGGCCTCTCTCCAAGGTTCTACAAGCAGAAATTACTGCTGCAGAAGAGGAGATTGTCTAGTGGAACATCCCCCAAGTTGTGCAGGGAGTTTCAGGATTCACTTTGTGAATCGCCCCCATCTGGAGTGGGCTTTGATGTTACAGTTACCTTTGAATCATAAATACTTCTGGAAATGACCCAATAAACTCACTGGGTCACCCAGCTAGATTTGTGTGAATAGTTTCTCCAGTCTTTCGTTGGTGAACTATCTGGGGCAAAATTTGTTTATGTCTCCTCATAAAATGTCATACAACAAGGATGTTGCTGTAGAAGAATTTATTTACAGTATTGCATTTTAAAATTTCCACAAAAAAATCCTCAGAGTTCAGGGGCCAAGTTTGGTATTTGCTCTGTGGGGTCTGTTTTGATCACAGAATTGAAGAAAATAAAGCCCAAATGCTCTTAGAATGCTTTAATCTATTAACCGTCTGTATTTCAGGTCTAGGAGGTGATGCTAGAGGAAGAGCAGCCCTGGTGTTGGTATGGCAAAAGGATTTGGAACCAAGTGGACATTCTATCTCTGCACACCAGAAACGATACTGGGGAAGACACCTGGCTCTTTCTCTCTTATTTTTTTCTGGAGCATCCTTCCTACAGGATGTCAGGATTGAATCACTTTCTCTTCTTGTAACAACTTATATTGATTGTCAACGCTCTGCATTGCCTCACACTTCATTGTTACTGTAATCATTCTGGCAGTAAAGAAGGTATTCTATTTTTGGTTTTGAGCCTCACCTTTAATGGCTGAGCCATCCCTCCAGGCCAAAGAAGATATTCCAAAGAGATACATGTGCCCATCCACTTGCGTCTGTGGCTGTCAGGCTATCTAAACAACAGACTTCAAGAAATAGGAATTTTCCCAGAAATCTCCTAGTAGAGAAGCTGCTAAACCCTGAAACCAGCCAGTGGAGGATGTGGTGGTTTGAGCAGGAATGGCCCCCATGACTCATATATTTGAGTGTTTGGTCATCAGGGACTGGTGTTACTTGACAGGGAATACGAAGTGTGACCTTGTTGGTAGGAGATGTGTTACTGGAGGTGGGCTTTAGGGTTTCAGATGCTCAAGTCAGGCCCAACGTCACTCTCTTCCTGCTGTGTCAGGGTCGGGTGCTAGCCCGGACCACAAATTCTTTCTCTGTACCAGACTCCAACATAAACTATCTCTCTGGACTGGCAGGGAGGCATGGGAATAAAGACATGACTCACATGGCTTTATTGGGAGGGAAGTTCTAAGAGATCCCTCATTAAATCTTGAGTTCACATCCTAAAGAATTCTTCTCATTTATTCTCCAAACAGCTTCTATACCAAAATGTAAACTGAGCGGTAAACATTAGCATCTGTCTCCTAGATAACCAGGTGAATGACTTTTAGTCATGTCCACTACTACCTGTGCTTTCTGTCATGTCTTCCTGTTCTGTATGTTAGCTCTGTCAAGTAGGCTGAATTAACACTTCTTTTCAGGCATCCTCCAAATTACAAAGAAGGAACAGAGCAACATCCTGACCTTTTGTTAGGTTAGCGACAATCTGTCTGGAAGGTTATGTGACCACTTCAGGTGGGGAACTATGGCTTGATAGTCTGGCTTCCACACCATATAGAAATAGCGGCCTACACTGCTGCCTGAGAATCTGGATAGAGAACTCTTAGCTCCTTCCCCAGAAGCATGTCTGCCAGTGTTCTACCATGCTTCCCTCTAAGCTGATAATGGATTAAACCTCTGAAATGTCAATCAGATACAATTAAATGCTTTCCTTTATAAGAGTTGCCATGGTCATGGCGTCTTTTCACAGCCATAGAACACTGATGAAAACAGAGGAGATTGTGTCCTAAGAAGAGATTTCACACTTCTCTAACAACTTATCAGACCCCTTGTGGGAGAGACAAGAACACAGGCAATGCTGGGTCAATGATGGGAAAGGCAACTCCTTGATCAGGCCCTCTGTTTACACCTAAACTCTATATTGGTTTAGGGGTAGGGTTTCAGTGGACTTTTTATTTCTCTTACCAAATATGATCACATTAGATAAATCTCTTTAATTGACCACTTGAGGGCAAGTGTCCAATCCTGATTTGTTACGGCTTCCTGTCCAGGTCTGAACCTAATAATCCTGCAACATCTATATACCTTCTTTGCTTACACTTGCCTCCGTGAGATGCAGAGCGTAGTTACAAGACTCAAAGATTTCTCAAGCCCTGAATTCAGAGCAGGAAAGCACTTGTATGCCCTCCAGGTTTGAAGGGATGGCTCCCAAAGACTTCCGTAACAATCTGTGGGAAAGTAGCATCAGACAGGAAGCTGAATGAGTCTCTCTCAGTATAACCATGGACTTGACTCTCCAAAGTACTGCATCAGATAGTGAGCCCTGTGAGGGGCCATTTAAATCAGGATATCACCCACTCCAGCATCTAATAGGAACATGAAAACTATGAAACTTAGAGGACTTGACTACCTGAAAGCCTATCGCTTGACTCGCTCCCCATTCCATAGTAATGTTCCCACTAGCTGTAAACAAAAACAACAATAACAACAACAACAAATCTCCCAACTGTAGCAATCTATGAGAAGAATACAAAATTATGGGATGATATCTCATCTTTAAAAAGAAAAAAGGTTATTCCTAATTCAAGACAATTTGGACCCAAATACCGCACACATTGGCAAAGGAAAAAAATTTGTGTGTTTGTTTGGTAAGTGGCTAGACAGATGCTGGTAGGCTTGGCGACTAGATTCCTTCCTCATAACCCGCTTTGGACCCTGTATCCCATCTCCCCAGGGAGTACCACAATTGCTCTCTTAAAATTTAAAATACACAGGAAAATGTGGAGGTGTCTAGGCATTGTTGAGTCACATTATCAGAAATCTACTTTCTCCTGGTCAAAAGAATAGATTGGCAGTTCTGTCATTAACCTTAGGCAGAAACAAGGTGTTCTGATCTGTCTCAGAGATTAGATTATACACTATGTGTCTCCTTCTTAAGAGTTAATCTGTGTCTGTCAATCACCTGACCAGGAGGACACACCTCAGGAAGGCTGATTCATATGAAAATATACTGAGGAAATGGGAGGAACAATTACTCCCCTAATGAGATAACAGGCTTAGGTGACCTGGAGTGCCTTCCTCCAGGCAATTCCTGACAGATCTTCACTGATAAACAAGCCTGTTTTTCTGAGCTCTCATTCAAAAATTGTAACTTTTCCTTTCCCCTTTTCATCTCTTCTTTGAACACCAGCCATAATCCTAACCATGCTTGCCTGGTATTGTGCTTTTCTTGGTGTTTCTGTGAAGACTCCCTCCCCTTTTTGACACTTGCTTAAGGACACTACTAGCTCAAACAACATAACTTTCTTCCTTCCTTTTCTCTATCTTCCTTCTCTTAGGAGCTTTTAGTATTTACAATTGCCTGGTCTGTTATTATTTTTATCAAAAAGCTCTAATAAAGTGCCCCTGGCACTTCTGTCTAAGTCAGTTTTCAAATTATTTTACCAATAGGACTAAGAGCCTGCAGAATAGAGCCCTGATTCTCAGTGACATGCTCACATGAGTAGGTGTGACGGTGGCGACACATTAACACTGGCTTCCACTCAGCAAATGGCTTGCCTTACTTCATTTATACTCATTCATGACTAAACAGGCATGTTTGCAGGGAGACACCATGAATATATTTCCACAGCTCTCTGGAAGCTTTCGTCTCTTAGCTAGAAACACTCCAACAGAGGTGCAGAGCCCAGGATGCCTCTGAAGGCAGTATGGGAATCAAAAGGAGGCAATGTGGGTAGTCGAAGAAAGGAAAAGTAAGAAAGAATTGTCTACACAGTAATAACTATAAAAAAAATCATGAATCAGAGGCAACTTAGATTTACGTGTTGAGATCATTTCATTAAACTAGATGAAAGTTAATCTGTTTTAAATCTTGCTGAGTTTTGATGGCTCTGCACAGATTCATTTATAGTAATTGAGAACAAGAAGCATAATAAGCACACCAACCCTGATGGTCCCCATGATGGGAGAGGTGGCTTGTGCATTTAGAAGAATAAACAGCAATCAAAGCAGCTGTGACCAGACCCACTGGGCCTGCCCTGTCACGTTCCTCGCTGTTACCACTGGAACGGGAATCTGGTTGCAGACGTGCAGGGAAGAGGGAATAGTGCTGGCTCCATTATCCTTACTCTCCTCCTTTACAAGAGGCTGAGTCAGAGCAGTGCGGAGCTACCCTGCGTCACTGCTGGGATTAGAAGTGCATCTCTGTCTGGTTCATTCTGCTCCGTGCTTTGGAGGCTATGTGCTTTCTCGGCTCAAGACAGTGTAAACTACCTCCTAGGGTCTCCAATTCTCTAGCCCAGAGGTCGGGCTTCCCACAGCCCATTCATCTGAGACTTTTACCGTTTGGTGTAGCCCACGAGTCATGATCTCACCATCTAGGATCCATCACATGAAGCTAATGCTGCCAGGGCCCCTGCATATCTCCTTAAACATCCCATCCTAAGGTTGCTCACCTAAGTCCACATGCATGCATCAGTTCCATTAGTAGTTCAAAGACTGATTCCGTATTAGAATATCATGACTCGCTTTGCTCTGAAGCTCAGTCCTCCTTGGGCTGCTCCTCTGGAAAGGCTGACAGCCCTCCTTGCCTACTTTGTCATTTCCTACTCCTTCCATTTTACTAGGTGTTGTGTTGTGCTGTGTGCCTAGTGTGTCAATCTTCCTGAGAATACAGTGCTTTTCTAGAGGTCATCACTGTACATGTTTAATGCCCATGTGTGATGGTTAATATTCAAATAAAGAGGATAAAGACTCACGTAGGAGACAATGCTACATGCATGTCAGGATAAGGCTTTCCTTCCTTAAGTTTTTTAAGATCAGATATTTAGTCACAGCAATGAGAAAAGTGATTCATAGTCTATGCAAAATCTCAATATACAATAACATACATCTGGTATACTCCTGTTGCTTACTGCCAACATGTTTAGCAAATGAATAAAGAGATCACTTATAGCTCAAAGGGATAAAGAAAGCTGCCTGGATGCGGGTGAATATTGTGGAATGGTGTCGAGACAGGAAGAGTGGAGCATGGTGGTAAGTGTGAGTGAGAAAAATGAGTGTGTGCGGTGAGCGGTGGAGACACAGATATCCAGAACTTTAGGCAGAAGCAGTGCCTGGTACGGGTTGATTATGGCACTGAGGAAATTTGGCACCAGAATTATCATGTCTGATTTCAATTATGTATGTTTTAAGGACATAAATGCATCACAATTTTTGCACGAAATATGACCTGTGTACACTGACTGTGTTACTGAGATGTAAGCACTTCGAAAGTGCACCTCTGCGCAGAGAAGCAAAATTCTTGTCTACACTAAAACCAGTCTCATACAGGGAGATGAGAAGCCAACTGACTTCACCATAAACATAATTTAAAGATTTCTAACAGGGGCCTGACATAGTTACCATAAGCATCGTGGCATCTAAAGCCATGACCTCTAAAGATCTCGGCTGTGGAGTTGAGATCTAACAACAGCCCTCCTACTCATGAGGTTCTCTGTCTTTCTCATCATGCTTTCTTCCATTTCCCATTCGATTCTGGGTAAGTGTCACACAGAACAGAGAGTTCTCATCATAGCCCAAAGGGTACCAAGTGTTATCCCTTCTAAGGAATGCATCCTTGAGGAGACTCTTACATGGATAAACAATCATTGCATTTCTTCTTGGCTGTGACTCACTGGAC